GGACGTGTTAATTTCACTAAGAAAATCAACAAAACGTCTAATTTGATCAGGAGTGTTGAAACACTTGTTACTGTAGTTATGAGGATGAGGAGCTGAAGTTCAGACTCTTAGGCTTTAAAGGGTTAATCCTTCCTTCACTGTGGTTAGAATGTGCTGTAGTCTCTTCTTGCTAGCTGATCACTCGTGCTGTTTATGCTTTTCCATCTTCTTTGTTATGGCAGAGCATATTCATACTCTCTCTCCCTTTTTTTCTTTGTCCCCATCTCTCGTTCTCTCTCCCTTTTTTCTCTCTTTTTTGTGCCACTCACTCTCTCTCACTTGTTCACTATTCCACTCACTCACAGTCTCTCCCTCTCTCTTGCACACTCGCTGTCTCTCTCTATAACTCTGTCTCTCCCTCTTACTTACAGTCTTTCTATGTAATTCTCTCTCTCGCCTTTCTCTCCCTCTCGCTTTTTCTCCCTCTCTCCTCTCTCTCTCTTGGCCTGCTTCTGTCAGGCCGATTATCACTATGCAGCAGATCAGAGGCATGAATGAGACATGAATGAGGAGGGCAATCCCCAGATTTCTAGCCCATTTTCCACTTATTCCCCCTCTTTCCCTCTCTCGTTCTTTCCCTGTCTGCTATATCTCTTCATCTTCACTGATATAATTATCAGTTTTACGTAGTGATAGAAAACCCAGTTGTACACAGAAAGCTCCAGGTCCACACACTGATACTGTTTACTAAGCCCAGAAGGCATCCCTTGAGTTAATGAGTTAAAGTGGACAAAACTGAAGTCTCTAAATGTATCGCCGGCAAGAAGTTAGATTGGCTAGGTTTAAAGAGACATCATCAGTGCTTTTATTGGCAAAATTTACTCCTTGGGGCCTTAATTATCCTCTAACTAGTTTGGGGGTGTGTTATATGTGGCTCTCTGCATATGGAGTTAATTTTGTGCCAAAAGTTTCAAATAAAATAAAATCCACAAGCAAAATGTCAAAATATCCAAAAAAAATTTTGCAAAAACAAATAATGAGAATTTTTCAAGAAGATTTCTACTCATTTTCACTCATTTTTATATAAATTATTTCTCATTTTGCTAGACTTTGCTTTCATTCATTTTATATTTGCCGATTTTGCTGAGACACGTTTGTTTCTGGAATCACTCTTTTACTTCTGAAATCTTTCTTTTGCTTCTGACTTGGCACTTTTTAACAGGGAACGGGTCTAAGAAGAGGGTGTTCACCTGCGTTCTGTATTTGTCAACTTATTTGGAGTGACAGGACTCCTGAACAAGTTGCCACTCATCGTAATGAGTGCTGCTGGGTGCTGTGTTCTGCTGGCATATTGGAAATTATGAGCAATGTTTGTCGTATTCCTTTTAAGTTATTAATACAACACATGTTTAGGTTCCTGTGTTGCCCTGTGTAAAACGATGTAACTGTTGTTCCGGACACTGAAGAATATAAACTTAGCTGTTGAAAGAAGCTGTACCACCTTTTGGGTGTGCAGATGCTAGCGCTAATTAGCCTCGCAGTGTCCTCTAGGGCTAACTAGGCAGGCTGGTAGTGGAACTAAACTGCTTAAATATCAAATGTTGCTTCACTGTGTTAATGCAAAGATATTGATTTGGACATTCTGTAAGCGGGTGTGGTGCAATAGGAAGCCTGTTGCAGTGACTGACACAGAGGCACTCTATGGGTAGAAACAAGAAAAGACTGACATAACACCCTCTATAACCCCCAGAATGTAACGACCAACCATGACTGGTCGCCTTTATTCCCTTTTGAAGTGATTAAAGACAACCGTCTGTCAACTCTCATGGCAGCAGCAACTCGTAGCTGGCAACAATACGCTGTATTTTCCACTCTTCACTGTGTTTATGCCAGTGCTACCTTAACATTATTTCCCTTGAGCAACAGCATATTCAACAATGTCCTGCTCGAGCACACCTGATTCAGCCCATGAATGGCTCGATTATCAGTTGATGTGCTTCATCAGGTGTTTTAAGGTAAGGAATAGTTGAAACCGTGCAGAGCTATAGATCTCCAGAAGCAGGGTTATAAACACAGATTTCAACAATTGCAAAGATCACGTAGTTTGCTCTTTAGAGGACACTGCTAGGCTAGGTAGCGCTAACAGCTACAATCCTAAAAGCTGTGTTCAACAGTTTAGTTTACCTAATATACTTCAATTTCCAACATATATATTTCACACAGGATCCCGATCATGTGTTACATTAATAAACATAAAAACATTGCTCATAATCTTAGACATGCCAGTGCAGTGCTCTCTGGCAATTCTACACTCAGCACAAAGTGCTCCGCCATTTTTGAGGCAGATCATGACTTTCAGTGTGGGTACATTTTAAATTATTGTGGGAGAAAGGTGCTTAATGAATTTAAGACTGTGTTACTTCAGGAGAAGTAAAAAAGTCTGAGTGTGAAATTGTAAAATTCTGACATGACCTGTCCACAGGCTGTTCATGAGATCAGGACAATGTTATTGATGATGTAGGCTATAATTAAAATTGCCACGCTTGCAATTTGAAAATTGCACTCTTTCAAATTGCGTTTGCTGTGTAAGAACGATTCATCTTTCAGCCATAGCCGATGTTTTTGTGTTGTTAAGGTCACTAATTTGCACTTTTGTTTCAAGATAAAATTTGCATTTTCCTAAGCCAAACCAATCTGTGTAGTTTATAACTAGAACTCTGTAGAATCAATGCATTAAACACAAAAGTTTTAAAATGGAATCAAATTTAGACCTCAGCATCAAAAATCCAATTGAACCTATAATCTTACTCCTTACTGGTGCCAAACTCTAAGCATTGGCCCAATTGTCAGGAGTTTGGAAGATTGATTCCCAATGATGCCACAGCCATCAGTGGCTGGGGGACCAAGAGAAAGTAATTGGCCTTGCACTCCCTGAGTGGGTGAGATGGCCCTCCCTCTCACCCAGCACAGTGCTAGTCAATGTGGCCATCTTTTAATTGACATAACAGAATTGGCAGTTAGGCTTCTCCTCCAAGCGTGTTGAGCTGTCCAGTGACGTTGTGTTAGCATAGTTTGATAGGGCGGAATTGGACCCAACTAAATTCGGGAGAAACCTGGGCGAAAACCCCACAATAATTTAATTAATTAATAATAAAAAGATGTTGTAAAGAAAGAAGAAGCTTTCATCTCACTAATGAATGACCCATATTTTCTTCTATATAGTTTTATGATCTGCCTAGAGAGCTACATCAGTTTTGGTTCATTCATTTGTAAGGTAGACACAACATGTGGTATTGCAGATTTGGCCATTTGGCTAATTCTTGTTTGTGCAGATCTGCATAGTAAGTGTGAAATGTGGTAGTACTTGAGGAATTGAGAGCTATTAAATGGATTTTTTGTGTGTTTGTGTAGATCAGTGTTGTAATGTGCTACTGTTATACTACTGGAATTAGCAATTATAATGGAGAAGGTATTTAAACTATGGAATCTGAGCATTGCACAGGCAGACAATAGCGCTCATCACACAGCGTGTGTGTGCATGTGTGTCTGCAGTCACTTATTCGCTAACAGTGTGTGTAAGCTGAGTGCTACCTGTGGATGAGGCCTTTTTTTCCAGAGTGGCTGTTTTGGCATGCACTCTGCACCACAGGCTATTCAGCACGGTGTCATGTGTGGAATGCCATGCCAACTCCAACTCTATGATCTCCTACGGGGCCTACAGGGGAAAGCAGTAGATGACAGATTAATCAATCATGTCCTAAGTCTTTTAACACAAAATGCCACAGAGCTGTTATTGTTAACGAAAAGGCATTCATGAATAGGTATGTCTTTGTTTAATGGTGTATGTGTGTGCGTGCATGCATTTACATGTGCCTTTCAGAAAGACATGTATTTGTCTCTGCTGATAAATCTCCCTGTCTTTTCTGTCCCTCTGTGTATTTTCCAAATTAAGCATAGTTCTGAAAAAGAGGACACTGTGTTGGTTTACCTGCTTCTTTTTAGTGTAAGTTTAAATTTCTGGGAAATCTGGGACTGGGAAACCAGCCTTAAAAGTTGTCACAGTCCTTTTTTCATAGCAACTGCTGTTGGGTTGCACAAGATTTACAGAAAAAAAACTCACCCTGTTAAAAAATATCCCTTTGAATATACATAATACAAATATTACATTAGTTTCACATGAATGAAATATATTACACAGTTACTACCTTTCATTGTACTTAGTTTTGGCAGAAATTGTGTTGATGTTTTTTTTTCACGTGGAACCACATTTATATCAAGTATATTCAAAGTAACACTTTTTTAGTGCATTCACCTAATGATAAATTATAGTGCACAATTCAGGTTTTGTCAAAATACTTAAATTATTCACAGCCGACTGTATCAGTGCTTGATTAGAGTCGCTACATAATGCTGAGTTTGCAGTTTATAATGCTATGTTATGGACTGTGTTGTTATACCTAATTGAAACTAGACAGGTTAACAACAAATTTACCACCACATTAGCATTAGTTCAGTTACATGACACAAAAATATACCTAATCTAGCAACACGACCTCTCTTTAAGCTTTAAAATAAATAACATGCCCTAGATGTAGGTATTTTAACCTATCCAGTTGTACACTACAAATTTATCATTAGATTGAATGGAATGCTTGCCAGAGTTTGTCCTGCCTGGCAATAGCATTTGTGGGCAGAGCGTGGATAGGAAATGTCCATTAAAATCTTTGTCCATTTGAGATTTATGGCACTGTCTTATATTGCTGTGCCATCACATCCCCATGTAGAAATCTAGAATGCAGATAGTGCTTCTGTTTGGAACAGTGTAGATTAGTGAGTGTTCAATTCAGTGACTCACTGTGGGTGAAGTGTTGGTTCTGTAGCAGTTGCTCTGAGGCATATGCACAAAGTATGGAGTAGCTTCTGTTACCTGCTTGCCTTGTTCACACAACTCCATGCTTGCATGAGAGGCCACAGGACATAGATTTTAATCTCTCTCTCTCTATCTCTTTCTTTCTCTCTAGGGGACGAAGACTTCTGGACCGTGTGAAGGACGTGACTGTAGTGGGGGAGGATGTTCCTGTCTCCCAATAAAAGGCAGTAGGGTGAGTAGAACACACACCTTGGAACACACAGGCCATGCTCTTATATTTCACCCACAGGGGGCGCTCTAACTCATAAACATGTTTCAGTATATCCTACTTGAAAATAATAATGTTATAAGTAACTAGTGAGTGATGAGTTTTTCTTTTTAAATTAGTGATGAGGGTTTTGGTAAGAGAACCCCTAAAGGAAGTGTCACAAAGGATTCTTTGAGTGATGCCACAGAAGAACCATTTTTGGATCCCTAAAGAACTATGTCTGAAAAAAAAGTGAGCATGAAGAAACTTTATCAGCATTTAAAGAATCTTTAAGGGCTGTTCCAGGAAACTTAACATTATGTAGAGGTTTTTTAAGCTTTTTAAAAAGTTTTTTTTTTACAGTCGCACAGCTCATTTATATAAATGGCTCTCCAAAGAACCATCCATAATTTTTTTTAGTAGGCAACCAAAAGTGGTTCCTCTATGGCATTGCACAAAGAACCCCTTTTAGCACCTTTATTTTTAAGACAGTAGCTCAGTTTAGGTTTCTTAGCTGGAAAGTCTTATAAAACACACATATAAGCGTAGATTCAGTCCATTCAGTTCCATCCAGCCCCTTGTAGTCACTGTCAGAAGAGAACAAATGGAGCAGAATGGGCTGAATTTAAAGCATATTTGTTAATTCTTCAATGTTGTTGTATTCAAAACTGTATTTGTTTGCATTCTACCCTCTCATTCTTCCCTCATATCATGGCTCAAAAAGAAGTTTCAGGTCCTTTTAAAGCCAGACAGTCTGAGATGCACTGCTTTTCACAAACTGCACAAGCGCACATTCAAAACGGAAGCTCCACTCAAGCAAAAAGCCATCTAGCTGCATATTAACTGTAGTCATTACACATCCTTAACCATAGGCACTTCAGTAACACTTTCTTCCTCTTGAAAAATAACAGCACTTGAAAGAGGAATGTTTCCTAGAGAACAAGAAGCAGTTTTAGGAAGACATGCTGGTTAGTGTGTAAAGAGCATGATGTCATATATGTACATAGAAGTAATGATCTGATTGATACACTGGATCAGTATTAACACTGATACTGCCCTTATTAAATGGATCAAATATCAGCCAGATGTCACCAATCCACTATTGTTATTGTTTTGACACAGTTCCTTTGCAAACATGTAATGCACCACGAGTTTCTCTACAAAGCCCCGCAGTGTGACAAGATAAAAGTCTCTTTTAACAGAGCATGACAGCACATTCAAGTAAAAACCCGGCGTAGGAAGGCTTTCTGATTCTGTTGTGCTTCAGTCAAGTTCATTAGCAAAAGACTATTTCAGAATTTTGCATTTTATCAGTTTAATGTAGGGTAATTTTTTTTAGCTTTTTTTTTAAAATGACAAAAAATAAAGATATACCATATTAAAGATTGAATTCCTCAGCTGTAGCAGTATTATGTATGCATATTTTAAATTGAAAACTTAGTATCAAGAGAAAAAACATTGAGTCGGTCCTAGTCTCATGCTATGTTTACATGTTGGTGGTAGACATTCAAAGGGAAAATGGATATTCCATTGTATTCAATGGAGCTGCAACAGAAAATTCTGCTACTACTAGCTGCAATGTTTTGCAGACTGCATCGTTCGCATCAACGTACAGAGCATCCTCTTGCCTTTTTCCTTCTTGAATGAACAATCTGTGCTACTGAAGGTCTCCTCTGACATTCCTCCTTTTTTCGCCACTTGATATTCGGCTGTTCAGTGACAGTATTTGCCAGTGACAGTTTAGCTGTCACCATGCCAGCATTTGCATAGCTTCATGCCACTGTCGCTCACGTACTGCTATGATGAGCAGAACACACATCATTAATGCAAAGCAGACACTATATGAAAATCTTAGTTAATGTAAAGCTGTTCAAGACGCACACAAACACACACACACATAGACACACACACAAACACACCTGCCCAGCCCTCCAAAGCACACACGCCCACAATACACACACCCCACCAGGTATGTTCTGTGGTTATAGATATCCGGGGTTGTGCAGATTTTACAAACAAACAAAGAATGTATTGTAAATATGTTGTCAGGCTGAGACAAGCCCTTAACTTCTGTGGATGACGTTAGCATTGCATGCAAGCTGAAAACATTGACCAATGACTGGATCATAAATTGTTCTTTATGTGATTGTTCTTTATATGAGAAGAAAATAATTTAATAAATTACCTGATTTCTAAGATTTATACAGAGAGATTTTAGAATCATGCCGTTTCAGACTCAGATTAAACTGCAGAGTTGTAGGTTTAAAGATTAAACTAAAGTCTTATCATTCAGTTGCTACTCAATTATTCATTAATTACTATGAAAAAAAGTAAGGTAGTAGTTATGATGGTCAGTGGAGTTAACTAAATGAAATATTAAATTCACTCAGTCTTTTTTTGGAAATATAGGTTATTTTAAATACCAACCACTGTTAATCTTTGAGTATGAAGTGATGGATGTGAATGCATTCCTCCTTTTTGAACGGGCTGCACATAGGTGTTACGAGGGTATTCCCAGTGAAATTTAATTGAAATTGTCTTACTAGTTTTCACTGTTTATGTAATTAATATTTTTATTATTTTTTTTAAATCCGAGAATAAAGATAGTATGCATGATTAGACTAATATTTTCCAAAGCATTGAATGGTTAACCTGTACAGATTTGGATTTGGGTAACAGTCATTGGATAGAGTAGAAGCCATTGATTATCACTTGCTGTCAACATCATTAATTTCAATATATTAACCTCCAACCACGCAGTCATCTTTGTACTCGTATTTTGAAATTTAGAGGTAAAACATTCTGTTTAAATATATGAGGTTTTGCTGCTGTCCTTCCATGTCGCATGAGACCATTTAAAAATAGGAACATATGTTACATACATTGAACTGCAGACACAAATCGTAGAAACACCACTTGCCTTCAGATTGGATAAACACATCGCATTGGTTGGGTTTATTTGCATAATGTTCAGCTCCACCTAACTTTTTTGCTGCAGAACTGCCACAACCTATTGAAAATGAATGGGATAAAGAAAAACTACAAAGCTAATACATTATGAGAGGGGTTTGGGGGAGGCATTCAAGACATTTGTGTTGTTTATTTGTGCTGTTTATCAGTGAGTACATTAGTGTTGTGTATTAGACCACCTGTACTGTCCACATCCAACCATACACATGCACACACGGACACACGTTCACCCACAAACCACAGTTTAACCCCAAAGCCTTCTCAGACTTCCCTTCTTACTCAGCAGACATTACTGATGTCAGCCAAACCACAGCACATTCCTTTGAGACACACACACACACTTACAGGCACAGAGGTACACACACACAGGCTGTGGTTGTTGATCTCCACTATCTAATAGTTAAAGTATAAACATAAATCATAAGTAAATAAACATAACTATTGTTTTAGGCAAGTCTGTTTCTGTTGTAGCACTTATTTGACCTTGCACTACACATTGCACAGTACATCGTAAGTTGTGGCTTGTCAATCAAAATGGCCGTTTCCGTCAAAGTTGACGATTCTTGGCCACAGTGAGCGACGAAACCTGGTGATTTCCGGTGAAGTCGGCTTGTGAGAATGAGCTAGTCCAGATGTTATCTTATAGGCCTATTGCACATTCTCAAACCACATTTCTAATGATTTAAGATATAGGTGCTCACGTTTCTTTTGCTAAGAGTGTTTCCATGGCTGCTGATGGTTTAAAGTTAAATGTATCTACAAAGGCTAAGCATTCAGTTATAGTACACAACACAACATCCAGTCAGAGCATGTTTTATTAGTGTAAAAAGAAAAAAAATGGCTACATTCAACCAAAATTCATTCATTCATTGCAAAAGACATTGTTTCCAAAAAAGTCTGTCTGTCACGTCTTTTTCGTTCTTCCATATCAATATCACTCTGTCCAACAGGGGGTAAAAACAAACTGTGCAGCATATATTACACCAGAGTATTCTCCCACACATTTATATCTTTCATATTTGTTTGCTCCAGGACCTTCTTGGCAACACCTCTGTGCGGTCTGCCAGATTTGGCACTGAGGTTTGAAACTGTTCTCAGGTCAGATTTATGGCCCTCTGTATTCCATTCACAACTACCAGATGAGAGATGACTTTTATTGGGATCAAAACTCACATGCCAGTCCTCACCAACCTGAGGAAATGAGCGCTGTGCCATCTCCCTACAGTATTTATGGCAGACTTTATAGCTTCAGGGCCAATAGTAAGAGTCATTGTGTGACAATTATAACGTCACCATTTGTAGGGCTAATAAATCTACCTAAACAAACAGGATGACATTTTAGAACTGAAAAGTTGAGGACGGGCATGGCTGAGGTTACACTGAATCTGATGCTGGATAAAAAACCGTCTTGAGAGTTGCAGTTTGATACGCATCTCCAGCTGTACTCGTGCAGAGATCTTTATGCTGCAGAGTTTAATTCCAGCCTTGGTCTACAACCTTAAAAAAGGGGAAAATAAAACATGAAAGAAGTCCTGTGCAAAAGTTTTGTCACATTTTATATTTTATTGTTTTCAGTATGTTAAACTCGGTAAATAAATGGAAATTGTGTACTAAGATTTGCAGAAAAGTGCTATACTTAAGTGTGTTAAGATGTGTTAACTTATTTTTACTTAGAAAATTGGCAAAACGTATATTTTGATGGGGTGTTTACATTTTGGCATTCGACCGTATAACTTGATTTTTCTAAAGAACCTGTGAATAACCCCTTTTAATGGAAGAGAAGAACCACTTTTGGTTCTCTATTGTTGGAAGAAGAGATTTGTGAGTGTAAGTAACATTTTAATGGTTTAAAAAACCTATGTAATGTAAAGGTTCTATACCAATTTAAAGGCTCTTCCTTGAGTCTTTACATTTTATAGATTTTTTTATATTTAAAAGAACATAAAAGAACATAAATTTAAAGAACTTAAAATGTTCTTTACACTTACATCTCATTTACAAAAATGGTTCTCTAA